AGGGAAGACAAAGAAGAGAAAGAGAAAAAAAAGAGAGAACAAAAATTTTAAAACAAAAAGGGGAGAGAGCCCAACGAATTTAAGAAAAAATTAACACGAATTTTTCTGTGACTTCAAATGTGTGGTTATCTTCCCAGGTGCAGTCTCAGGGCGAATGCCAATGAGTGTCACCACTTTCACTGGGAGACAAAGAAGGGTGCCTAAGCTCTTTTCTGTAGGACACAGTCACAAAGAGCAGACGGTGGACGGAGGAGCACGGTGGGAGCTGGGGAGTACTGGCCCCAGCGCTTTCACGTTCAAGCAGACCCTGGCCTCTGGTCGTGGGAGTGGAGCTTGGTCCTTCAGCTTTAAACACCCTGATTGCCTCTTGCCGGCCTGCCCACAGCTCCCTGATCACGGTTGTCTCCCATGGCTGACCTTCACCCAGCCCCATGGGATAAAGCTGAGAGTCCTGACATAAAGCCAGCCTGCAGCTGCTCCAAGTCGGGTTCACCCTGCGCCCTCCCTGGCACGTGTCCCAGCACTCACGTCAGCAGGCGGGGCAGGTGCCTGGGCTGGAGTCTTTCAACAAGTGCTGCTGCTCCTGCCTGCGTGGCATCTGCTGTCCCTGGCTGTGTTGTAAGTTAGAAGCCAGAGAGAAAGTGAAATGACCTTTTTCTGCACTGTTCTGTCTCTTCAATTTTTCCACGGGCCACAACCTTCCTGTCAGATTCTTCCTGGGTCCCAGGACTCTACCTCCCCCCTTTCCTTCCCCAAGTTACGATTTTTCAGATGAATTCCAAATCCCGGAAAGGCTGATCTCTTGCTTCTCCTCCTTCCCCACCCAGCATCTTCCAGGAAGTCCTCCTTTGTCTTAGAGTCCAGCTGTGAGCCGGCAGGTACTGCGTGCCTATGATCCCAGCTGTTCAGGAGGCTGAGGTAGGAAGCCAGCATGGGCTACATGGTTCAGACATAAAAAATTTTGAAATAAAAATTGAAAGTACAAAGAGGGCTGGGGATACAGCTCAATGGCAGAGTGATCGTCTAGCAGGCTCATTTATGAGGCCCTGGGTTCCATCCCCAAAGAGCAGGTCTAATTGTTCATTGTAGTCATGCAGATAGTAAGTGTTTTAATCCAGGCAACGTTTTTAATTACAGTTTTTAAGATTCATTCTATTGCAGTAACTTGATTTCCTTCCCCAGACTCTTATTTTTTTGAGACAGAGTCTCACTGTGTAGCCTGGTTGGCCCTGAGCTCTCAGAGCTCCTCCTGCCTCAGCCTCCTAAGTGCTGGATTTACCAGTTTCAAAGTTCCATTTTGATATGTCAGAATTTCTTCGTATGTATTTCCCATACGTGCTGTTCTCTCAAATGGTTTGTTTCTATTTGATGTCTCTCCGTCCCCCCTCCCCCTCTCCCTCCCTCCCTCTCTCTGTCACTGTGCTTTCCATGGTGTGAGCTTATTTCATCTAGTTTACTCTGTATTTCCAAAATGAGTTCTTTGGGAGTGGTGGCACATGCTGTCATCCCAGCACTTGGCACTAGTCCAGGGTTTTTTGAGACTGTGTCTAAAAAGAACTAAAAATAAATAATAATAAATGAGTTTTTCTTCCTTTTCCCAATTCTTTCTAAGTTTCATCAGTTCTTTTTCCATCTTGTCCTTTAGCCAGGTTGTTTCTTGCCTTTCTATTTCTGATATGTGGTGGTCTTTCAGTTTCTGGACTCCTCAGTTGGCTCTAGCTGATCTGGCCACACGGGATTCTCATGGGCTTCTCCTTTCTTTCTTTTCCTAGTCTGTGGGGTTGGGATATAGCTCAGCGGCACACAGTGCCTGCCTGGTGAGTGTGAGGTTATGAGTGTGATCCCTGGTACCAGAAAATAACAAAAACAAAACCAAAAAAAAAAAAACCAATTGAACCTTTTTATAGTCCATGTTTGAGATCCATAAGGACTGCATGCCGTGTGGAGCTGGTGCATGGACAGAACACAACTGAGTTCATTTTCATCCCCTTCCCTCACTCACCCCTCTGTCTCTTGATCCCATTTCCTCTTGAGGAAGATCTGTGTCCTGCTTCTTGTTATCTTGTATTTTGCTCTGTCTTTATATTTGCATTTCTCATATAAGAGAAGGCATGTGATGTGGTCAGTTCCCTCTGCTTTGTGGCCACTGTGTGGGTGCCCCATCCGCTGCCACCTGGTTATACATTTGTAGATTTTCTCGCTTGGCACATTTGTAAACAGATGGCTTTGTTATGCTTTAGGGTGGCTGGTGGGCGGCTCTTGTTCTGCTGCTCCTCCATGGCTGCTGGCCCTGAGCCCCCCGCTGGACACCAATATCCCTGTCCCCTCAACCTTCTTTCGTCCCCTCTCATTTTACCCCAGTCCATTTTGGTTCCTACCACCCGCAGCTCTGCTCTCTCTGCTCAAGCCCCCTGTCTTCCTGGGAGGATGTGGACGGCTACAGCCAAGACCCTTGCAAGCCTCATACGGGCTCCTCAGTGTTCATCACCCACAAGTTGGCCCCTGGGGCCTCTGTTCCACTGTCTCCTGGTCGAGGGCTCAAGGTAGGGCAGGGTCCCCTTCTCTGAGGGTGGCCACCTCTTGGAGATTTCTGAGCTGGAGCCCATAGGACCTGGGAGCCCCCATGTTCTTCCTTCAGCCACTTCCACCAAGCGGCCGACCGTGTGGGTCCCCTCGGCCCATGGCGGCCTGGTCCCACGTCTTCTGTGGCTCGGGGCCACTCTGAGCCTAACTTCACTGAGTCAGTGAGCTTGGCTGTCCTCATGGTCCTACTTTTTAGAGGGAATTTGGAGAGGCTTTTAAAACTCCCCATCTTAATCTTTCTCCGACCCTCACCCACTGAGGCCTTAGTCTTCCTGTGCTGAGGTGGTGCCTCAGCTAATCACATGCATGTGCCTGCCTTTTCCTTTCTTAACTACCGCACAGAGCGTGGCGGGAAGTTGGCCCAGGGCCCTCCTGTTTCTGCCTTCCTCCCTCCCTCTCCCTTCCTCTCCTCCTCCTTCCTTTCTTCCTCCTCCCTCCCTTCTCCCCCCCCCCCCGTCTTAATTAATTACTTTTCACTCTCATTGTTGAAACAAAATACCTGACACCCTAAAGTTAGGGAAGGGAAGGTTTATTTCTTACAGGTTGGAGGTTTTAGTCCACTCTTAGTTGTCTCCAGGGCCTGAGGGGCAGCAGTTCATGGCAGCCACAAACAGCACGCGTGAACAGCAAAAGACAGGAACACCAATCTCCCCCCCATTACACTGTATGCTGGCTCCACCCCTGGGCGGATGTAGCACTCCTAACACCAATCTGAGCGCTAGACAATGAACAAATGCTAGATTTGGCTGCATCCATAATTGTATATGAGGCTTGGGGCAGGGATCTGAACATAAACCATAACACCATCCATTACTGACAGGCGCTCACCCAGGGTGGAGCTGGAGCTGTGGCTTCCCCTATCCCCAGATGAGTCCTCATGTTCCCTGTCTCCTGAGGACACAGATGTGACTATTGGTATTGCCCTGGGCCTTCTGCTCTGAGAGGCCTCAGGCAGGGGCTCCTGTGGGCAGTGACCAATGACCAGGCGCCTGGAAAGCCAGTGGAGATACACTGTCGTGCAGCAGCCTGCTCAGGGTTTGTCTTCAGCATACACATGTTTTGGTGGCTCCTTGCTTGGGGGTCCAGGTTCTGAATGACCAAGGTTCTGCCCACAAACTCTGTGGACGTTGAGTGAAGGATTCCCTCATTCCTTCTTCAGTGCAATGCAAGGATTGGACCAGGGCTGGGGCAGCAAGGCACCTGTGGAGGCCCAGAGTTGAGCATCTTGGATTTTGTCATCAACCTCTGTTGTAGGTCTTCAGCTCTGCCCCTGCCACTCCAGATGACGCTTGGCAGTGGCTCTGATCCAGGGCAAAGGCATTCTGAGGAAATGGGAGTGCCTGGGGCCATGGTTTGCTGCCCCTGGACCGGAACCTGGGCCCAAACCCATCACTCTGTGACTTTGTAGCTCAGGAGGCTTCTGCTTGGCCCAGCCCCATGGGCTCCTCAGTGGCTGGACAAGGCTGGGCCCATGTGGAGGCTGCCTGGGCCCCCAACCCTAGGCTACCACCCCTCAGCACTTCTCCTGCTGAAGCCAGGGCTGCTGCAGGCTGCAGGGGGATAGTGTTGGGATCCAGCATCCTAGCAGGGCGTCAGCTGGCTGGAGCAGGGATGGGGTGGGGGGTGGGATGGCCTGGGCCCTGAAACTCAGGAGTAAGGAGTAAGACTCAAGTCTGCCTACCTAGGACAGGGAGAGGGGGCAGGGAAGAGGGCGGGGAATAACAGAAGGATGCTCAGGGGATGCTCCTCACTTCCCGCAGGTCCCCTTCAGGTGCCTCTGCCAGGCACAGAGGGCCCTGTGAGGGGCACCAGGCTGCAGTGCACTGAGAACCATGGCATGCACCTCCTAATGGGGGAAGCAGCTGGTGTGTGCCGAGGCTGAGGTGGCTGAAAGGAGGGGAGAAGCAGCAAGAGACAGAAGGGCGATGGTGAACCCAGCCAGCCAGGCTCAGGGCCAAGGACTGCTGTCCCGCTAGTGCCACTTGGTCTCATGCACACTTTGAGCGCCTCGTGGAAGAGACCAAAGGAGCCAGTGACAAAGTCCAGACCCACAGGGGCAGCGGGTGAGGAAGGTCCACAGAGGCTGCCTAACTACCTGCCTCCAGGACAATGCCTTTCACCTGGCTTGTTAGTCGTTAAAGGGAGAAATGCTGCTTGGCCTGCGAGAGTCTGAGTACCAGCTACTGCTGTGTTAGGAGATGACCGGTGACATCCTGAGGCCTGGGTGAACACTGTGGCCAAATGTGCTGGGGGGCATCTGGACACCAGGAAATGGGGCTGGGACCAGGTGGCACTTGGCACTCTTACCCCACACTGTTGCTAATCATTGCCACTTCCTCGAGGGCAGCCTAAGGGGCTGGGTGCCCACAGGGTACAAGGATGAGGTACATGGCACTGACCCCCTCTTTGTCTCATAGCGCAGTTGGGGATTTCCAGGTGGACGACAAGACCAAAGCCCTCCTCAAGTACACAGGGGAGGTGACATGGATCCCTCCGGCCATTTTCAAGAGCTCCTGCAAGATTGACGTCACTTACTTCCCATTCGATTACCAAAACTGCACCATGAAGTTCGGGTCCTGGTCCTACGACAAGGCTAAAATCGACCTGGTCCTAATCGGCTCCTCCATGAACCTCAAGGACTATTGGGAGAGCGGTGAGTGGGCCATCATCAAGGCCCCGGGCTACAAGCACGACATCAAGTATAACTGCTGCGAGGAGATCTACACGGACATCACCTACTCCCTCTACATCCGGCGCCTGCCGCTCTTCTACACCATCAACCTCATCATCCCCTGCCTGCTCATCTCCTTCCTCACGGTCCTCGTCTTCTACCTGCCGTCGGATTGTGGCGAGAAAGTGACGCTGTGCATCTCAGTGCTGCTGTCCCTCACCGTCTTCCTGCTGGTCATCACCGAGACCATCCCGTCCACCTCGCTGGTCATCCCGCTCATAGGCGAATACCTGCTGTTCACCATGATCTTCGTCACTTTGTCCATCGTCATCACAGTCTTCGTGCTCAACGTGCACTACCGGACGCCGACCACGCACACGATGCCCGCGTGGGTGAAGACCGTCTTCCTGGACCTGCTGCCTCGGGTCATGTTCATGACCAGGCCGGCGGGTGGCGAGGGCCCTGCTGTGAACCCCAGGCCCCTCTATGGTGCTGAGCTCTCGAACTTGAACTGCTTCAGCCACGTGGAGTCCAAAGGTTGCAAGGAAGGCTACCCCTGCCAGGAGGGGACATGCGGCTACTGCCACCACCGCAGGGTAAAGATCTCCAACTTCAGTGCCAACCTCACAAGGAGCTCCAGTTCCGAGTCCGTTGATGCAGTACTGTCCCTCTCGGCTCTATCACCAGAAATCAAAGAGGCCATCCAGAGTGTCAAGTACATTGCCGAAAACATGAAAGCACAGAATGAAGCCAAAGAGGTAAGGACCTGGTCTCTTATCTTTATCACACACTCAGTCATTTAACAAATATCTGTGGGTTCCTGCGTGGCAAGGTATAGGGTGTGAGTTAGGAAATCAGGCTCTGGAGTCAGTGGCCTGTGTTCAGATAGTCCTGTGTCGTGGAAGGCATTGGGGACCTCACCAGTCCAAGTCTGTGTCTCCTCTGTAAGACAAGGCCACCAAGTTTGGGAGTCCACGGTGCCTGTGTGGGACACCTGATGCTGCGAGCACAGGGTAGGGACTCAAGGATAAAGGGCAGGTGTCAGCTCCATCTGGTGAGCGTTAACCAGCTGGCTCGGCTTTTCTTTCTGTTTTCTGTGTGTACATGGAGAAAGCACCTGCCCCTAGGTGCACAGCTCACTAGATTTTCATGTCATGTGGATGCGTGACCCAGACAAAGACACAGACTGCTTCTAATGTCCCCAGAAGTTCCCTATGCTGTTTCTCAGTCACCTCCCTCCCCTCAGTGGCCTCCCCCTGGATTGTTCTGGTGACTGACTTTTCCTCTTGAACGTCACATGCGTGGAATCACAGGATAGAAACTCTGTCCTGACTCCTTTCATTCAGACAGTATCTTTTTTTTTATTATTGGTACGGGGGACCAAATTCATGACCACCTGCTTGCAAGGCAGGTGCTTATGCCACTGAGCTAAATCCCCAGCCCTTTTTTTTTTTAAAGCAGCACAGTATTTTTGAGGTCTGTCCTTATTAGTGTTCATTTTTGGATATTTTTGTTTCATTTTGTTGTTTTGTGGTTTTTTTTTGGGGGGGGGGAGGTTGGGATTTGAGATAGGGTCTCACTTATGTAGTTCAGGCTGGCCTTGAACTTAAAGATCCTCCTGCCTCAACCTCCCAAGTCCTGGGATTATAGGTGTCTGCCACCATGCCTGGTGGCTCTTTTTATGGTTGTTGACCATATAGATGTCTTCTTTTGTGAAATAGCTATCCATAATCTTTTACCTATTTTAAAAACTTGAGTGACCTCAGGTATTTTCTCTAAAAGTGATATGCCAGAACATGAAGATACATGTTCCCTTCTTTCTATTTTTTAAAACAGGATCTTGCTGAGTTACTAAGTTGCCGGGCTAGCCTCAGACTTACACAGTTGCCATCTCCGGCCTCAGCCTCCCAGAGCGCTGAGATGACAGGCTGGCAGCCCCAGAACACTGGCTCAGCCATTCTCTTTTTAAGCTAATTACTGTGGTCTGAGGCCGTTTGTCTCCTCTTTGGCTGATGTATTCACTCACTCGGGACTGCTGAGCAGTGACTTATTAGATACACGGCCTGCACTTACCGCTGTGCGAGGGTCCTGTTGCTGCCTTCGTACCCCATGTGTTCTCTCACCTGTTTCCTCTCTTGGCCTCAGTTCTTACCGTGTATGGAAGGCTTGAGTTTGCACTGAACAGGACACATGCAAGCCCTGTGCTCTCTCCTGTCCCGTCAGAGCTCCTTGCTGACCACACCGCAGGTCCCCTAACAGGTCCTGGTCCCCTCCACCCGCTCTTCTTACCCTCAGCTTCCTTTCTCATGGCTGTCAGCCACATGGGTGCTTCTGGAATGTTAGTTCTGGATTTTTGTGAATGTACTTTTAGTTTTGTGGTTCACTTTTAAAAATTAGTACATGTTTGCATTGCATGCATTTTATAGTCATCGGGGAACTGGTACATGGACATAACCCAGCTTTTTAAAAATCCTCTGCCCCTACCCTTTTCATTGTTATTGTTGATCTCAGGTCATGTTTATCACAGGTAATGTCCACATTCACAGAGGTTTTTAGGATCCTGTATGCAATTCTTTTAAGTGTGCAGTGATCTTTACTATACTGAGCCTTCTCAAATATCTTGTAGAGCTCAGATTTATTTTTCTTTGTCTTGTTCTATCTTCTCAAAACCATGTATGGGTAAACCTTCTGAGGCCTAGCGGGCTTAATCTATGGGCTGTCCCCTTTGTGTGCACGTGTGTGTATGTGTGTGATACTGGGGTTTGAACCCAGGGCTTTTCCACTGAACTGCATCTCTGGCCATTTTTTACTTCTTATTCTGAGGCAGCATCTTGCTAAGTCACCAAGTTGCCCAAGCTGGGTTCAAACTTACGACCCTCCTGCCTCAGCCTTGCAGAGACCTGAGGTTAGGGTGTGCACACTACACCACACACTTAAGGGTGCCTTTAGCTGAGTATAAATGCTAGTCCTGGAGTTCTTTTCCTTAAGTACCTAAAAAATAACATCTGTAATACCCATGGGCACTGACTCTTTTGGAAAAGTTTTAAGTTAATCTGAGTGTTGCACCTTTGTAATACTAGATGCCCCTAGCAGTTTCTATTTGTAGAGACATCCGGTGACATCAAGCAGAACAAGCACTGAGTGGGCATGGTGTTCCCATGAGCTGTTTCCCATGGAGGGCTCCTCTTCACCTGTGCCAGGTTATTTCTGTACTGATTGCTTCCCACCCTTTCCTTCTCAAGTCCCAAGCTTCCAGTGTGCAGCGCCCACCCCCATGCTGTCCCATACTCCTCCTTCCTCTCCTCCCTCTCCTCCCCGGCCAGCATCCGCCGGCCCCAACCCCTCCTCTCCTGAGTTCGTCACAGCTTTTCTATTTCCTGCACCCAGTTTCACACTTGTCCTTTCTCGTACCTTTCACACTGTGGCTTTTCTCTAAAAGTGCTTGCTCCTCCTTTGCATTTCTAGATTCTCCAACTTCTGAGGACAGCATATTTAAATCCTTGGTCTATGCACTCCGAATTTTATCAGCCAGGTGTGGCTGTGGGGCTGCACAGGGTTGAGGTCGCCTGAGCCACATCCTGGGCTCGGTTACCAACACGCTGCCTCTTCTACTTGTGGCCTTGTCTCTGCACAGACATTTGGCTTCCCCCAGCCCCTCCTGACCAGACTGACGCTCATTCTTGTCTTGGGGGAGGTGTGCTTTGGGCTCTATGTCCCTGGCTGGAGTAGCTGGGAAAGGAGCTCCAGCAAAGCATGCCCCTCCACAGGAACCCCTCAGGGGCTGTGGCTCCCAGTCCCTTAGCCACGAAAGCACTGTCCCCTCTTGCTTCTGGGTGGTGTCCAGGGCCTGGCTGGGCCTGATTACCTCTGTGCCCAGCACCCTCCACCTGACAGCATTAGTTCCTAGGTTTGCAGAGGTCGCCACTGGCCCTGTGCTTTACGGGCGAATGATTAGTCTCAGCCCCTTGTGTATGCGTGCGCATGTGCAGTGCTTTGGACCGAACCCAGGGCAACTCTACCACTGAGCCACATCTCAAGCCCTTTTCACTTTTTGTGACAGAATCTTACTGTTTAAACTTGCCCTCCTCCTGCCTCAGCCTCCTAGGGGGCTGGGATTATAGGTGTGGGTCAGCATGCCAGGTTCCCCAGCTTTCTTCCCTGGGCTAAACCTTGTGAGCTGCTGTTGGAGGCAGTGATAGAACCTATTGATTTTAAAAATGACCTGTTTGGTAAGGACTCTGCTGAAAGCACACGGAGGCAGCCACTGTTCTAATCCCCATTTTACAGCAGCAGAATTTGAGGCCGAGGAAAGGAATAGATTCGCATTTGGAATGGACTCACATTTCAGCTGGGAAGGGGCAGAGCTGAGAGGCTAGTCAGTTTGTCTCCAGGTCTCTTTCCAGCCTCCGCTTCAGACCTTTAGTCTGCAGAGCGTGGGTGGGAATCAGAGTCCCACTAAGTAGATTTGGGTTCTGAGGAGATCAAATCAAATAACGAGGCAAATAGGGCATGGCAATTCCTACTTTCCCTATGACTTCCTGGTGTCACGGAGAGGACACAGGTGCACAGGGCCAGAATGGTGAAACAGAACCCACATCTCCCACAATTACAGGCTGCCTCTTTATTATATGATTACTGCTTCAGAATCAGTTGATTCATGGGTTCTGGCTCTCAATTATTGGCTTCTCAGTTGTCTGGGAGATTAATTGCCATATAATTCTCCTTCCTGTTGCAAGCCTAATCAAAGCGGTATTAGGTGCAATTAGTCTTGCTCTTTCTTCTACCTTTTACCTCATTGTGGCAGTGATTTCCGGTGTTTGAGCTGCTTAGTAACTCAGTCTTCTGCGGTGCAGAAGAGGGGACAGCAGGCTGGGCACAGGCGAGTTTCACTCTGGACAGGCGTGAAAGGGAAATTACTACCCGAAACTGGGAAACAACAAGAACTCTCAAACAATGGCAGATGATGGTGGCTTACATTAGCCATTTCATCAAAGGTCCCAAGTCCTTCCATAGAAGTGTAAGTAACTGGCTTTACCAACTTTACAGAATTGGAGTTCCATTTAGGAAAAAACAGGTTATATCGTCAGCTTGGAGGTGCACAATTGTAATCCTAGCACTTGGGAGGCTGAGGCGGGAGGGCTGCTACGGGTTTGAGGTCAGCCTGAACTACAGAGCAAGACCCTGTCTCAACCCACCTACCTCCCCAAAAAAGAAAAAATAGGTGGTACATATATTAAATTTCTGATTTGAAACAGAAAAAATTTTTTACAGTTATTTCTGAACTACAAAAGCAAGACTGGAGAATAGATTTCAGACCACACCAATTGGAAAAAAAAGACTTTTTTTTTTTTTTTTTGTCTTTTTCCTTTTTATTGGTACCAGGGACCGAACTCATGACTGCCTGCTTTCAAGGCAGGCACTTATGCTGCTGAGCTAAACCCCCAGCCCTGAAAAAAAGACTTTTTGTACATTGTAGGTAAAAAGGCTTTTCCTACATTACACTAACCATTTAATACTTAAAAGGTATTCACTTTACCTTTCCCATCATGCTTTGTTTTCTCGCTTATGGTCTTTCTTTCTTTCTTTTTTTCAGATTCAGGACGACTGGAAGTATGTCGCCATGGTGATTGACCGCATCTTTCTGTGGGTCTTCATCCTGGTGTGTATTCTGGGGACAGCAGGGTTGTTTCTGCAACCGTTGATGGTCAGGGATGATGTGTGAGCCTGGCGTGGGGTTTGTCTGTGGCTGTCCTGTGGGGGGAGGGCGGGTTTCTTAACAGTGACACACTTGATTACATGTACCAGCTTTGTTTTGCCATTTCAATGCTTATTTTCCAGTTACCTTACTTTTTGGCAAAAATAACCATTCAAGAAAAATGCTAAGAATACTTACTATAAGTAAATGAACATTTAACTAGTCTTTGTGGTAAGGGAAGTGTCAAAATGTAACTGATTAGTGTGCTATAAACATGTCACATGTTCCTTTTTTAGTGGTTGAATACTAATTGGAGAGAAAATCTTGCCGTTCAGAAATGTGAAGTTAAGGGTTTCGCGGTGGTTCTTTTTCGGCCCATAGTCTCCTTGAAGTCTGTGTATTCCAGCGGAGTTCCCATCTCCACCATGTCATTTCTTACTGTGCATTTCTTCTTCTTTACTGCCTTTCCAGAGTCTCAGGGTCACACCTCCAAGTCACCTGTTTATACTAAGTCACACATTCACTCACTGTAAATGAACTGTCCTGCTTTCTTGGGGGACATGTCACAAAATGCCACCAACACCCAGGAGACAGAAATTTGTTCCAGTTTTGAGAGCCTGGGATGCCCGACATAAAGCATCAGCAGGCCTTGGTGTGTGGGGAGGCGCTTTTCCTCAGCAGATGCCCTCCGGCTGTGTCTCTGGGTGTCTTATAAAGGTACTGATCTCATCATGGGAGCATGACCTTGTGACCCAGGGGTCTCCCAAAGGCGCCACCTCTATCACACTGAGTATTAGACTTTAACATAGGAATTTCAGAAGACACATTCAGACAGTATGAGCTTCTGGAGCAGGTGTCCCAACATCGGCACTGCCAACATTCTAGGTCCGGTAACTGCGTTGGGGGTGGGGATGGAGCTGCCCCCTGTGCACTGTAGGACAGTGAGCAGCACCATGGCCTCTGCCCTTAGAAGCCAATGACACGCCCCTCCCGTGCCCCTCCCTCGCCAGCCTCCATGACCAGAATGCCTCTGCATACTGCTAAATGTCACCTTGGGGGCACAAATGACCTTGGCTGAGAAGCACTGTCATTTAGTTACAGTTTCTAAACATACCATATTTCTAAATCTGAATATCCTGACAAATGATCAGAGACCATTTCAATCTTCTCACTAGTTACTATGTTTTTCCTATACAAAAATAAAAACTGACAATTGTAGCCCACTGTGACTTATATTTCTGTAAGTCAGAAGGCAGAGTTCTATAACATTTACTAGTATACAAAAATGTTTACCAGTAATGATGTTTAAACAGTAAAAGATTCAAATATATACAAGCTAAGATGGAGTCCGGTTTGACAAATATTTGCTTGAGCTATTAGTGAGCTTTCTGTCACAGTGATAAAGTACATACTTGAGCTAATCAATGATTACATAGTCACCTAGAGGTAAGAACAAGGGAGGGAGGCTCCAAACCATGCCCTGGAGAAAAGCAGCCCCTGAGGTGTGGAATAAAAACAAAGTCTGACACAGGAGGATAAATGGAAACTCAATGGACCAAAATCCAGTGTCAAAGGAGTTTGTAAAAAGCCAGGCCACTCTGAGATCATGGTGCCTCAGAAACCACGGATCTGGTGTACTTTCTGAACAGAACCCAATTGCACAAGAGATAACAGCAGGGATCAACAAGGGGGACTGTATAGAATTAAGAGGCTTCACAGCAAAGGAAACAACACAGTGAAGAGGCAAACTACAAAATGGGGGAAAACTTGCCAGCTACTTCTCAGAAAACTAATATCTAAAATGCTACCCCCTCAAAATTAGACCCCTAAAATAAAAGATCCAGGTCAAATAACCACCAAGTAAAATGAATATGTGCACCTCTTGTATAATGAATATACAAGTGGTCAATAAATGCATGATATAATCGTCAGTACCACTGGCCACTGGATAAATGCAGATTAAAACAACTTCAGAAAGCGTGGCTACTATAAATAAATCAAATAACAAATGCTAGGGAAGCTGCAGGGAAAAGGGAGCCCTATTGTTGGTAGAATTATAAATTAATACAACCATGTGGGATTCCTCAGAAAACTAAAACTAGTAATTGCATTTGACCCAGGTATTCCCCTCTAGGTATTTTACCAAAAGAGTTAAAGACATCACGGTGATCCATTCATACCCATATTTATAGGAGAACAACTCATAAGAGCACAGTCTTGGAAGAGGTCTATATGTCCCTCTACCAATGAATAGAAAAGAAAATATATTTATACATAATGAAGTACTACTCTGCCATAAAGAAAGATAAAGGAGCCATTTGTGGCAAATGGAGAGATCTTGGCACCATAATGTTAAGTAAAGCAAATCAGACACACAGGCTTAAATATTTGATGGCTTCTCTCAGATGAAAAATGCAAAGTATAAATAATTTTAAAGAGCAAAGTAAAGGATGGATAATGGGACTCAAGGAGACATCTTTTGCAAGTGGGAAAGAGAGTAGAGTTGGAGGGAAAAGGAAAGAGAAAAAGAATCACAATGTGTTATGTACATGTACCAACTCCCCATGATGAATGTAATCACTGTGCACTGCAAATGTGTACTAATAAAAAATTAATGGAAAAAAGGTTAATTTGGCTCCCAGTTCTATTCCTGGTCCACTGCCTGTTATGGGGTAGCACATCCTGTTCAGCTCATGGGTGCCAGGAGACAGAAAGTGCTGGTTGCCAGTGCTTCATTACAGGCGTACCCTAAAGGCCTCATTCTCCACAGGCCCCACCTCCCAAGACTGCCACGGGCTGCTGGCCAAGCCTTCCATGCATGGGCTTTCAGGGGACACTTACCCAAACCACAGTATCCCATCCCTGGCCCCCAAAGGCTCATGTCCATCTCATAACACAAAATGTATTTAGTCCTCCTCCTGAAGTCTTAACTGTTCCAGGATTGCTTAAAAGTCCAAATCCAAAGTTTCCTTCAAGACTCAAGGCAAACTCAGCTGTGAGGTCCTTTGAAAATCAAAAAGAAAGTTACCATGCCAAGATCTACCCAGGGTCAGCATTCTTATTCCAAAAGGGAGAAGAGAGGCACAGAAAAAGGGTCAGACTGAAGCTCCTCAGGGCAAATATGGTCTCCATGTCTACCACCCAAGGCCCACAGTAAAAATGTAGGCTCTGAAGGACCTGGGTAGCCGGGCCCCTATGGCTTTGCTGGCTGCAGCCTGTACTCCCCTGCAGCACTGGCCTCAGTCTCATAGGTTCATGCGTCACTTCTCAGGGGCTCTTGCAGGCACTGACCCTGCCATACACATCACTAGACATGCTGTCTTTTATAATCGTGGTGGAAGCAACCATGACCCTACAGCCCTTGCATTCTGCATCCATGCCTGCAAAACCAGCATCACACAGATGACAGGAAGGTCCCCCAGCATGAGCTGTGTAGGGGTCCTCTTGAACTCCACTGCAGTGGAGTGGAGCGGCTCGATTGCTACATACAGGAAATGAATCCCAGAAAGACAATTCCCTAGTTGGCTCTGCAGAAGGAGGACTTCCTGGGGAACATCCTCTTTTCTCTATGGAGTCTTTGACATGAGCTTGTACCTTTCTACTTTTAAGCCTGTGGTAGGTGAGGTCTTGCTCATTCTTGAAATTCCCCCAAGGCATTTTTCCTCTTGTCTTGGTGCAAGATATGTTGGCTTTTTTAAAAAATGGTATCAATCTCTTTAAGAACTGTATCTTCTTTGGCAGCACCTTTATTTGTTTATTTTATACTGAAATCAAACTCACGACCACATGCTTGCAAGGCGGGGGCTTAGGCTGCTAGGCTAAATCTCTGGCCCTTTGATAGTATCTTTAAACTTACTCTTCCAGCTAAACTGTAAGTTTCCCAAATCTTTTCTCTCCACTTTTTGCTCTAACTATAAATTTGCCTAAAAGCAGCCAGCAATACCCAGGCTATAGGCTGAGTGCTGTACTGCCTTGAAATTTCCTCTGCCAGATAAACTAGTCCATCACCTTTGAGGTCAGACTCCCACAGGGTCCAGAGTGTGAACAAAAGGAATCCATTTTTTTTTTTTTGTCAAATGTAATGGAAGGTGTCTAATTCCCCAGAGTCCTTATTTCAGTCTGAAAGCTCATTTGTGTACAACCTTTGGTATCCACATTTCTATCAGCATTCTAGTCTCCTGAACCCTCACCAGAATCATCCCTTAAGCTCCATTTTTGGCATCTAAATATTTCCAAATTCCTTCCACAGATCAATTCCTAGGTTTCTGAAACACTGCCAAGAATAGCCACAGCAACAAGCTCACATCTTAGTTCTGTATTAGCCTTTTCTGTATTAGCCTTCTGTCTCTGTGACAAAATACCTCAGCTAGTTTAAAAGTGGAAAGGTGTATTTTGGCTGTTCCAGAGATTTCAGTCTGTTGGGCTGACTCTGGTGTTTGGGGCCTGCAGTGAGGTGGGAGCATGTGACAGAACAGAGCTGTCTGCCTCATGGCATCCAGAGAGCAGAGATAAGAAGGGGCAGGGTCCCAACATCCCACTCAAGGCCACATCCCCAGGCATCTCACTTCTTTTCATCAGGCCCCGTTTCCCAAAAGCACCACGGGCTGGGGACTGAGCCTGCTAGGCCTCTGGGGGACACTTAGCCAACAACAGCACAAATTTTCACTCATTAAATGACATTAAGCACTGGCCTATTATAAAATGTAAATGAGACAAGGGAACATTCTGTGTTGCAAAGAGTAGTGATTTGAACATAGATGGGTTACTTCCACCAATAAACAAGCCATTTGGTGTCTGAACTGCTAACAGTTCTAAGTCAAACGCAAGTTTCCTATCAGTGTTTTCTTCTTGGTCATAAGTGAGTCAGGGTTATGTAAGAGATGAAATTTAACTGTTTACCTGTGATATATTTTACTTCACTGATAAATACTACTAATAGACTTAAACTAGATTATACCTAAAGACCCTTGAAATTCTAAGGTTCTGTTACTATAGGTGCTGTAATGAACGAAAATTGAAACATCACAGGTATGTAACAATTTGCTTAGACCAAGTTGGAATACAATCTTTAAAGTTGGAAGATGGTTTTCTTATAGTGTGATCTAGACACAGACATCCCTGTAAAATGGGATCCGTGTAACTACAGCAGCCTGTTCTGAGATTAGAGACACAGAGATGCTCCCACAGTTCTATACACAGCTCTGTTAATTGTGGAGAACATGGACAAGGGGACTGGAATTAGTTAGGACATCCTGTTGCTGCAGGAGCATGGCCACAGGAGTTATCTGTTGTGTGATTTCATAGTGGAAGATAAAGTATAAAAATAATTGGCACAACACTCAGTGTAAGCATCCACAGAACAAAGTCAACCTTGCAGTTTCTAGCCCCCGATGTTCATTTATTTAAGATGTTTGTAGAAATGTCAGATCACATTAAGTATTTATTTACTGAGTACCCAGCCTACTCAACATAGCAGCATATAGTAAAAATTACCTGTTACTCAGTGAATACAGGACAGCATTTTACCTTAACAGGCCATGGTGGCATATGCCTACAGTTCCAGCTACTCAGGAGGCTGAAGCAGGAGGATCATTCGAGCCCATGTGTTTGGGGCCAGCCTGGGCAACTTAACAGAATACTGTCTCAAAAAATAAAACCAAAAAAGTACATACCTTTGTAAAATCCTGAAAAACATTTAAATCTATCTTCAAATACAAATAGAATTTTCCCAGACTCCAAGGATGAATTCATTGGTGATTACAAGTTAGTATTATTTGCCCACATACAAACATTAGATTTCCTCTAGGAGAGTTTGGATACTGCTTTGTTGCTGTTTTGCATTATTACTTTGGCCATGCAAGGAAATGGTTCTAATGGACACTCAGTCTACTTAGATAAATCAATATTACCGACAGCTAATCAGCTACAGCTTGCATTGAATTTAAAACAGTTCTACATTGCCATATTTGAAAAGCTGCCATAAGAGTGTATTCGCTAACTAAACTCATTCCACAACCCCTTAGGACATTTCACTTATTTGTATTTCCAATGTGAACTGGTACTATTATATTGGCCCATTCATAAATAACAGGAACAAAAAGCCCAAGAGATCCAACAATTGAAGCCAGAAGAAACATCCACAGAAACATCCGATCAAGAACCTGGGCTATGAATTTCCAATCTTCAACCACCTGTTACAAAAAATTAAAAAAAACATTAAATATATAAATACAAATTGTATATATATTTTTATAACACACTAAGTTAAAAGGCAAAATCATTTGCTACCTCCAAACAGTAAATGACTCTGTACTCTGGATTTTGGGACAGAACCAACCTGAAAGCCTAAGAAGCAAAAGCTCCACTCACTTTGAAAGACACTACATGTTCCTTTACAAATTTGCTTGCTCATGTAATATAAATGGTTTGATAGGTTTTTAATAAAATATTGCTTGGAGTTGGGTGTGGCAATGCATGCCTGTAATCCCAGTACTCTGCCTAGGAGGCTAAGGCAGGAGGATCACATATTTGAGCCAAGCCCTGTCTCAAAATAAAAATAAATAAAGGCTGGAAATGGAGCTCAGTGTGAAGGCTTTGGGCCCAGTCTCTAGTATATTTCTGTCTCTCTCTTTCTCTCTCTCTCTCTCTCTCTCTCTCTCTCTCTCTCTCTCTCTCACACACACACACACACACACACACACACACACATACATATATACACACACAGAGCTACTAGGATGTATTATAATATCATATTTGTATTATATACAGTCATGTCTGTTACTTATTCTTGTACTGTTTGACTTTCTAAGTTGTTTTTGTTATTGTTGTTGTTTGTTTTTTGAGACACCCCAGCCGGAGGTTAACTTCATGCCAAACTGAAAGTTGGCTCAGAATAGAGTACATCAGGGAACGGTTAGTCTCCCCCTCACTACTTCATGGCTTCTGCATTCCTTGGGGACCTTGAACCTGACAGCCCTGGGACCAACCTCAGCAGGCCTGAGCCACCTCACTAAGGGCAAAGGGATCTACCTGAATCCAAGGTCTGCAATTCTAGGGCCGCACCCTAACCAGGGGCTACCACACTCTGAAACCCAGCAAAGCACAGGACTCTGGAGCTGTGCCCAAGCCAGGGGGTGGTGTAGACTGCCTGTCTGCTTCTGTGTCCCTTGGAAGTGAAGCTCCTGGTCCCAGCACAGTGATCATACTGGTCCATAATGCTCTGCAGGCATGTGTTAAATTCCACTTCAGTTCAAACTGAGATCTGTGTTTCTCAAAACTGATAGCTGAAGGCCTTCTAGACTAATTATATCACCAGCAGAAATACAAGTCCACAAGCATTAAAAGTTTACTAAATGTAAGCTAGGTGCAGTGGTGGGCATTTGTGATCCTGGCTATTCAGGAGACTGAAGCAAAAGGATCTCTTGAGCTCAGATGTTTGAACCTGGACAACTTAGCAAAACCTCATCTCAAACAGCAGCAGCCAAAAAAAAAGTTTATTAGACGTATGTCAAATATCCCTTTGGGGAGAATGACTATAATTTTATTAGATTTGTCTTATCTGCTACCCAGACCTGAAATTTTTCCATTTAAGAAAGCTTTAGAAAATAGGACTTATATAATGAGACTATGTAAATTCAATTATGAACATATTACTATAATGACAGCTTTTAGAAATATTACATATGAGAAATAGGGGAAATATAACAACATGATTAAAATTTCACACATTTTCAAGGAAAACCCAGTGTAATATTATTAGTTAAATGTACTTATGTTCCACTCTTTAATTTTAAATAACCTTAAATAAGGAGCTAATGAAACTTACTTTTCTATAAAGATTTGAGCAACTTTTTGTTTTTAAGCAAATCAAGCCTAATTTTACTAAGCTTCCTCTGAGGCAGAAATCATAACACACTCAGACTCAGACACCTGATTCCTTTTCTTTTCCTAACATTCTCTGGTAAATGAGCCTCAAAAAGTATTTTAGAACATATCTTGGCTGTATATGTTTATAAAGCCAACATCAGGCTCATTCTTTAAAAAATAAAATAACTTTTGATAAAGGATAATGCAACTGTGTCTGCAGGTTGCTATGGAGTTTAGAAATAGTTACCAATGGTAAATTAAAACAGTAAATCATGGCAAGGTCATGGATCCTTGCAAAGCACACTACTGATATCCTCAGAGCTACCCCAGAGGCCGCTGGGGGCCACAGGAAGGGAAGTTTGTGCAGATACCACATGCTACAGGGGAAGCTCCCTTGAGGATTTCTGGCCCTCTATTCCTGCTGAGCCCTAGGGGCTTCACTTGTCTAGCACTGAAGCAGACTTGCACCCCTAAACTCAGCACAGACCTCTCGCACGGCGTGCTCCTTCCTCACATGCCTGGTGATGTAGCGGATGGAGTCGAGCGCGGCCTCCAGCTCGCTTCTGGCCGGCCTGGGCCTGCTGTCCCCCACAGTCTGTTCTCTCGGGGGGCAGTACCTGTCCACGTGGCTTCGCATGCACAGCAGCTTGGGAAGCCGGTGCAGAAACACCTTGCGGACCCAGGGTGCCATGGCATTGTGCGTGGAAGAAGAACGATGGTGAATGTTGATGGCGAAGACGGTCACCATGATGGACAGTGTCACAAAGATCATGGTGAACACTAGGTACTCTCCAATCAGAGGAATCACTTTGGAAGAGGAGGGGATGATCTCTTCAATAACCAGGAGGAAGACGGTCAGCGAGACCAGCACAGAAGTACAGAGGCTAATCTTCTCACCCTCATTTGAAGGGAGGTAGAAGACAACCACGGTGAGGAAGGACAGCCCGATGCAGGGAATGATCAGGAACAGGGTGTAGAAGAGAGGCAACCGCTTGATGACGAAGGAGAAGGTGATGTAAGGGTACCAGCAGCAACTGTCAGTTCGGTTTCCTTTGCTCCCCATGGCACTCACAATTTCCCATTCTCCGTTGTCAAAAAAGTCTGTCCTGTCCACATCTTGGTCCTCAAGGATGATATCAACCTGTGATCCGTCATAGGTCCAAGAACCAAACTTCATGGAGCAGTTCTGGAGATCGAAAGGAAAGAAGGTGACGTCTATGGTGCAGGAGCTCTTGTAGTTTGCAGGTTGGGTCCACATGACAGTGCCGTTGGCCCTGACCACTGTCTTCGTGCTGGCGCCTTCAAAACGTCCATCTGCACTGCGAGACACATGTGACCAAGAAAAGGGCCAGGGTTAGACAGGCCATGTGTGCACTTTGCAATCCCAGGTAAAGAAATCTGAAATGGACAGCAGGAAGCAGACACCTGCTGCACAGAGGGAGCGGCTGGGGACATCTTCCTTCTGTATCTGATGCCACTGGGACTAAACCTGTTCTTCCACAACTGCTCCCAACTGACAAATCTCTGTCTCCCTTTCTGCAATTCTATTGGTTGAAAAGACCTCACTTCCCGCACAAAATAGAACCGGGCTATTTACAGGCAGAGCGGAACCGAATCCATGCTCCTCTTCCCCACACCCTGTTCTTCCTGCAGCAGGAGTACCAGCACTTACTCTTCAGGGGGAAAGAGACTGTCGCAAGGTGGGCATTGGTGCGAGGTGGGCACAGCCCAGGATGGCACAGCCTCTAGGTTCCCCCACCAGAGGGCACCTACACTCAGCTGACTAGCATACAGCTGTGATCCCTGATATATGGTTTCGCTAGTCTTGTTCTTCTCCTTCCAATTCCTGTGCCTTTGGCAGGAGTCACTGAGAATAAAGTGCAAGGCAGGAGGCCACATTAGGTACGCACAAGCCCTGTTTTACCTCCTACACTGGGAAACATCCCAGAGATCCCTGCTGCACAGCACCTGCTCGTCCTCCGTGCCAAGTGCCTTTCTGTAAATAGGCCAGTGTGCTCTAGCATGAACACAAATTCCCAGATCTTACCTAGAGAGGTCCTAGGTTAAAAAAAAAAGAAAGAAAGAAACTGATACCCAGAATTAGCCTCTTCCCAAATTAAATAGAAAACCCCAGGCCTACTGACATACACTGGGGGTCCCAGATACTCAGAAGGCTGCAACAGAAGGATGTTGTCTTGGTTACTTTTCTCATGTTGTTGAGACAAAGTACCTGACACCAAAAATGAAGCAAAGAAAGGTTTATTTATCTTATGGTTTTGGAGGTTTCAGTCCGTACTCAGCTAGCTCCAAGGCAGGGTGGCGTGGCTGAGGGGCAACCATTCATGACCACAAGCATCAAGAGCAAAAGGGCAAAAGAGGAAAAAAATACGCTTCCTGCCTTCCTTCCCTTATATTGATGCTGGTTCTGCCCCGGGGCAGATGCAGTGCTGACATCATCAATCCCAGCACTAGACAACAAACCAACCACAAGTGCCAGATCCAGCATCTCCATGACTGCATGACACAAACCATAACAGAGGTCAATTTTGAAGCTAGTCTGGGAAACTTTGCTTAACTCTTACAAAGTCCGGAGATGCATCTCACTGGTACAGTGTCCCTGAGTTAAATCCCCAGTACTGAAGAAAAAATCCTCAGAACATACATAGGCATGCCAGGTGTGATGGCACATGCCTATGAATCCTAGCACTTGGGAGGCTGAGGCAAGAGGATCCCTTAGGATCAACTCCCTGAGGCCAACCTGGGCTACACAGGGAGTTCAAGGTCAGCCTATGCTCAAATCCCACTAATTTTGTTTAAATACTCTATTGCCATTTTCCTGTGATAAGGAATGTCTGTTGGCTTGTACAGTTCAGGCTGACCTATTGCTGAGTGGTTGCCTCCGATTTCCCTCTTCTTCCTTCTGCTTCCAGTACCTCTCATAGCTTTTGCAAATTTCAGAAATCAGAACACTTATGATTAAAAAATATATACCAAAGAAAAGGAGAAAGATCCACAGAACTTATTTGTAGGTTTATGAAACAAAAGAACATAAGATGAAATCATTTGGTTTTATAACTAAATCATTTTCAAAAGAGAGAAAAATTATTAATGCCTAGTAGTAGTGTAAGCTTTCTTTTGACAACATAAGGTGATATTTAGGACAGAACTTACTTGTCAAACAGAACGATGTCTGGGGTCCACAGAGTATCTGAAGGGACGCGTATAACTTTAATCCCGCCATAGTCATCAGGATTCCATCTCAACTTTACGTCTACCCATTCCTTTAAAATGAAGAAGTCGGCCTCAGTTTCAGTCACAATGATAGAAACAGTGAAAACTGCACTCTCAGGCAAACCCAGAAGGTCTAGACCTCAAACCATCTCTACTCTGTCTCTTCTGTACAGCACTAGAGCAGAACCCTGTCCCCTGGTGCAGTGGCTCTGGCCATGGTCCTCATGAGCCATAGGTGATGAACAGAGCTGATGTCTCTGTTCTGTACCTCTGCCCCCCTCACTGACCACAGCCAGAACTTGAGTACATGGCCCCAAGTTCCGGCCTCAGAGGAAACCTTCCAGCTGGACTGTCACCTGACCTGGCTGACACATGCACAGAGTTAAAGCGCCTTATGCAGCCTCCATGTGGTAATGACACTGTGATCAAGTTCAGAGGTGTACTCCAAAAGAGCACACCAGCCCTCAGGAGTCAAGATAGGGTGCTGGATGCAGCTATGAGAATTTGGGTGGCAAGCTACTGGTGACACCTGTTATGGTAACCCAGAAAAACAGATTTCTATCTAAAGGGGACCCTGTCCATAAAAACAATTAACTACCTTCTCCCCAAGTAAAATCCAGTATCCTCTCCAGGCCTGTGGTCCCAACTCCAAGGGCCTCCTAGTCCTGTCCTGTCCCATCTCTACCCCTCCCCACGGCACTCACCCCACTCATGGTCACTGCCCCTTGTTGCTTCCCAACATGCAACCTAGGTGCCCTCCAGGCTCCGGGCCTTGGGACTTATTTGACCCTCTGCCTGGAATGCTCCTCCCAACACTGGTGCACAGGGCTTGCTACCTCTCTTCCACATCCTCCTACAGCCTGTTCTTCTAAGGGACATATTTCCCCACAGTCCTGTGTGTAAGGACATCCCCCGCTCTCCACCTTCTCTCAACCCCTCTGTCTCCAAACTCACCAGCACCCAAGGTTCTATGCAGCTTACTTGGTAATTCTTTCCCTAACAGAATGAACTGTCTTGAGGACAAGGACTTCTGTCTGCTATGTTATTGCCACCACCACATCCAACCTCTTAGTGCTGAGCACAGTGCCTGACACATACAGCCATTCAAAAAATGCTAACTGAAGCTGGGCCTGGTGTCACAGGTCTGTATCCCCAGCATTGGGAGATACTGAGGCAGGAGCACTACAAGACTAAGCCCAGCCTGGGCAATTTAGCAACTGAGATCCAACTCAAAGTGTTTAAAAGCGGTGGGGATGTAGCTCAGTGCAGAGGCCCTGGGTTCAATCGCAAGTCCGCATACAAACAACTGAATGAATATAAGAACTCTGCAGCCTTCCCAGCCACACACACCACACAGCCACACCTTCGTGCTGCAGCCCTGTGGTCAAGGCAGTACCAGCCCCGCCCTGAGGCCACCTGAATGGCACACCCACCTGCTTTAGCCAGACATTTGTTGTCATTAACTGATTTTTCTCATCCTAGAAAATAAAAATTTAAATAAAGTTCATTATTTCAATTACAGAAATAATTCTTTGAATAACAATTTCTACATTTTTATACGAACATGCCTACCTACATGGGATTGACATTCTCCTCATCAATCTCATTCTTCAAACAAGTTTTATCTTTTTTCCAGCCTAGTTATACATCATTCATTCCTTTCCACATACTTTGCATTTCAAATGAACAGCCCAAAAGCATACATACATCCCACTGACATTTTTAGATTTAACATTTATTTCTTCAAATCTAAGATACAAACATAGTAGGTTTGTGTTTTTGTTTTGTTTTGTTTCTTGTTTTTTCTCTTTTTGAGACAGGGTCTCACTATGCAGTTCAGGATGGTCTTGAACTCACTTTGTAACCCAGGCTGGCCTCACACTCACAATGATCCTCCTGCCTCAGTCTCCTGAGTGCTGGGACTACAGGAGTGTACCACTATGCCTGGCGGCACAGCATTATTCTGTATGCTCAGCTCCAAAAGGAAAAATGTGGCTGTTAATGGGCTGCAAGTTGCTGTGCACTGAAGTTGCGTCTTCAGGTTAGAGGGGAAGATGGGGAGTCTCAGGGTCAGGGAGGCAGCATTCTGTCTCTCTGCGGGACTCACCCGTGGGACAGAGGGACCTGACTCCCTGTGGTTCTGCATAGAGAGAAGACATTGAGGGCTTAGCTTTGAATTCCAGCTTCACAAAGTTTTTAAATCTTATTTTTCTAGCGAACTTAGGATCTCTAAAATAACTTGACATTTGTTCCTTCCTACTGTCATATCTTTAAAATGCCTTCCCAGAATTTTCAAAGCCTGATTAAGGTGACATTCCTTCACTGAAATTTCAGGAGTCAAAGGAACAAGCCAAAGCTCACAAACTACCAACCATGAATCCATGGTATAGAGGAGGTGATGCTAAGAGAGACCCACAAAATCATGGGGTGGGAGGGAGACAGGATGTGGTGCACATGCTAAGGAGACTGTTTTAGCAACAGGGGAATGACCAGGTAGACATCCCTGGGGTGGCTCTGAGATGTCCCCACATGGGAAGGATGAGTTCAAGAAATACAGCACACCCATCCTTCCAATGCTGCATTTCCCAAGAACGATTTTTCCTGATTAAGGAAGACGCAGGGACTTTGTCTACTGTGGTGCCTTCCTTCTGCAGATGCAGAACTCCAGGAAGGCAGCCCTGCCGCAAGCCACACCAGCAACTGGTGGCAGACGTGATCCTAAAGCTTGAATCTCCTACATCTACTCAAAGACACAAATCTCCCAGAAAAACTGTTGACTTCAGTACCCAATCACACCTATTTGGCAAAAGCATTAAAAGAAGCATTCCCTGTTAGAGAATTTTAGTGACCACATTACCTATCATACTGCAAGGAAGGGGACCATCTTGGAGAATCTAATGACAGTGATGGGCCCTTTCCCTAGAAAAAATGAATCACATAAAATTTTGTTCGGTAGGTTAGGACTCAATCAAAATTTAGCATTTTTCAACAGTAATACAGATACATACTCCATAAGCTTGCAACTGGCCCCCCAGATGTGGCAGTTGGCCCATGAGCTGGGGTTGAAATGTAGTGTGACCTTAGCTGTCTCCAAACATCTATAACTGAGGCAACAGAAATGAAACTGAGGGAGAGCAGATGAGAACAGCAAGAGAAAACCACAAACAAATGGAGAATGTTAAAATACATAGAAGTATAGGGCCGGGGATTTAGTTCAGTGGCATAAACACCTGCCTGGAAAGCGTGAGGTTGTGAGTTCAATCCCAGGTACCAAGACAAAACAAAACAAAACCCCACAGAAGTACATAGTAGGTTTCAGGGACAATACATTTTTATCTTTTTTTTTTTTTTTTGTCTTTTTCGTTTTTATCGGTACCGGGGATCGAACTCACGACTGCCTGCTTGCAAGGCAGGCGCTTATGCCGCTGAGCTAAATCCCCAGCAGGGGCAATACATTTTTAAGCTGATCATAAAAATAAAATCAAAACAGACCAACATGGAGATTTTTTAAAAAGAGCAGAACACACAGGAAATTGAGGGACCTGTGAGAGTTCAAGTACAGCCACCAAGCCTGGCTACAGGGCTATGAGGACAGGTACAATGACAAAAAGGAGCAGGAAACTACCTAGGAGGCCAGAGAATGTCCTGCTGCACCTCCTGCTCCCTGGCTCCACCTGCTCCCTCTCGCAGTCACTGCCTTACATTTCTAGAGCTCTTCTCTCAAGAGACAGACCCCCACCCCTCTGACCAGCTGATGATTTCCTCTACTGCTCTCCTGATTCCTCTAGGGTCACTGCCTACTCTTCCTCATGAGCTTGAAAAACTTATCAAGGTTTCCAACACTCATCCCCAGCCAGGAATTGCCAGCTGGTGTCCTTGGTCTCTCCTCTCATCTGAGGGTCTCACCTGACGTTCACTCTTGAACTCTCTGGGCTGATGGATGTTTCTTTGGAATGAGCACCTCGAACCACAACCCCTCTCATCATCAGCTTTGCTCTGCTTCCACAATGATTTTATCTTTCAGAATTGAGCTGCGTTTCTACTCTAATCACCCAGCCTTCCAGATCTGAGGCCTCCTCCCACACTCAGAGGCCAAGTCTTACTCTGCAAGGTCTTCAAACTTCCTCCCAAGCTTCCGGTCTCTCCTGTCCTCCTCAGAACCATAGTTATGACTGCCCTGTTGACCTTCTCAAAAAACTGCTTTTACCATGCTGAAGCCATCAGATCATACTCCTTTGGCAATGACCATGTGCAGCCACTGTGCTGAGCTCTGGAAGGGACCCTGAACAATCGCACAATCGCACCTTGTTCTGCAAGACGCTACGCCAGGGCACAGGAATGCCAGGCAGTGTGACGGGTGCTATACTCAAGTTCAAGAGCTAGACAGGGGACAAGCAGTCTCAGGGCATCCAAGCAGACATCCCAAAGCACCTGACAAAGGCACCTGGCCTTGAGGAACACACAGCTTGGGCCAGACAAGCTTGCCACACAGCATACATAACAGCAGTAAAGGGTCAGTGGCAGGTAAGAAACGCTTATTACCTGCTCAGCCATTCAGTCAGCCTATTCCTGAGGAGCAGGGCTTCCAACACTGACCTCTGGATTTAAAAAGCTCTACAAAAAAGGGGCAGGATCACTTACAAATCCACAACTATTGTTTCTTCCTACTAACAGTATTTTTTTGTTTTTTTCTTTTTTATCAGTACCAAGGATCAAACTCACAACCACTTGCAAGGCAGGCACTTATGCCGCTAAGCTAAATCCCCAGCCCCTTATTTTTCTATCTGTCACATCAATCCCTATGCTGCCTACAAAGCCAGTTCAGGTGTCATCTCCCCTTGACAAGGTGGCCTTCCTTGGCAATCCCAGTCATCGAGACCAAAGCCTCAGCTGCCTGGCTGACAGCACTGTGACTTAGTACAAACGAAAGACCTGTGAGAGCACCCCCACTTTATCTTCCTTTCCACTTTCCTGTTCTTATTTAATTCCCCCCATATTTCTTATCCCAGGACCAAGAACACAGTCCAGGTTGTCCACCAACCTTTCTGGAAGCATGTCTCCTAGATTTAAATCATACATTGCTGGGCATGGTGCCACACACTTGTAATCCCAGTACTCTGGAGGCTTATGCAGTAGCATCACTGCAAATTCAAGGCCTGGTCTACATACTGAGTTCAAAGCCAGCCTAAATTATAGTGAGACCTTGTCTCAAAAACCAAAATCAAAACAAAACATACACTGGAGAGGAGGGAAAGGGATGACAAAAGAATTAAGATGTGTTATAAACATGTACTATCTTCCCATAATAAAAGTAATGATAACCCTTTACTAAGTGCCTTTCTTAGAGAAAGGGAAAACTCAAACATTTGTGTAACATCACCATTGCTATTTATAATCAGAAAACAATCTACTGTCAATAACAGAGAATGCATCAATTATAAAAAGAATTTCCTGAAACCACTAGAGAAACATGCATCTAGCAATTAAAATTACATCTAAAATATTTCAATTTTGTCACACACACACACAAATATGGCAAGAAATACAACATTGTTAACAGTAGTCATCTCCAGGTGGTAAGATGTCAATTTTTATTTTATTTGGTATTTTCCAAATTCTCACCAAAACCACACATTCCTTCTTTAATCAGAAAATAAAGGCACAACTATAAATGTTATTTTTAAAAATGTATATGGTGATCATATAAATACCTGCTGACTACTGTAGAAATAGCAGGAAAATAATTACTAGTTAACATGATCATAACAAGACACATTTAAAAACTCATGTGGGTTGACCTGCCCTTCTCATGAGCCATTGGCAGCCATGCGGGCCAGAAGAAGAACCAAGAAGTCAACCTGCCCTTCCCGTGAGCCAGATGGTGCACAAGCTGGGAGATAAGAACCCACGTGTGCCCCACTGCCCAGGCAACCAGCTGATTCAGAGGAACATAGGCTGGGATGATCGAAACTGAGATACAAAGACAATTTAATACTTGTATTTGTTAGATTGACTTTGCAGGCCTAAAGCCAATAATCTGAACATCTGTTTAGAGTAAAACAATATGCCATATAACAACTATGGGGGATTTCCTTCTGTCTTGTTTTTGAAATCCACCATTGTCCTCACTGTTTTGTTTTGTTCTGTTTTATTGTTTTGTTTTACTCCCTTCAAAATTAAAAAATTGTTTTTGTCTTGGAAAAAAAAGCAGTGTACTTTTTTAAACAGGAAGGACTCTTGGGCAGGGCATGGTGGTACACATCTGTATTCCCAGCATTCAGGAGGCTGAGGCAGAAGAACTGAGTGAGTTTGAGGCCCAGCCTGAGCTCCATAGTGGATTCAAGGCCAGCCTGAACTGCATAGCAAGACCCTGTCAAAAACAAACAAATAAACAAAACCCAGGAAGGACCCTTGACAATGAGAGTAAGTTTTCAAAGGAACATATTTTTCCTGTGATTGTCACCTGAGACACTGTCTCACACAGGAAAGGCCCTGGGCTCAATCTCGAGGACTGGGGAAAGAAACTCTAAAATTTGTTAAGCATAAAACTACAAATGACCTCCTAACATACTTTTGGTAACAAGAACTACAACTCTACTATTAAGACTATTTACCTTAAAATTTTTGGATGATATGCTTAGCACCTCTAAAGAGAAACTTCATTACAAAACATTATAATATCTTTGAATTTGTTAAAGATAAAGTTATTTTCATTATCAGGTGAGCTAAACAGGGCCTGTGTTACACAATGGAATATTAACATAGGACATCAAATATGGGTCTGTAGTCAGTCACCTCTCTCCTTGCTGAGTCCCTTGTGCAAACAACTGTGCCTCCCCAGCCTGCGAAGCCCAGGGTGCTAACAGTACTTGGCACAGAATGACCTCGCCGAGTTGCTGTGAAATGGAGTCAATCACAACATGCATACCTACCACATCCACTAACTGAGATATCGCAAGACCAAACTTGATTTTTATTTTGTCATTCAGATGCTCCACAGGACGAACCCATCTTTCATAGTCTTGAAACAAATCCTTAAACAAGCTGTCTTCGTGTTTTGCAACAAAGGACGGTTCCGATAACCCTGTGTAATGAATTTTTAGAAGTCAGCATACTTGCTTCTCTCCTACCAAACCTATACTTTTAAAAAAATCATTAATAATCCAACCAAAATGTAGGCCATTATTAAGGTAGCTTTTGAAATTAAGTGTTAATACAAACACATGTGGTCACATAAAGGACACACTGGTCCAGATTCAGTCAGTTCTCAATTAAATCATATCACTATGAAAACACAGTGTTCCTTCAGTAACACGGACTGAGGATGCAGCTCAGAGGTGCAAAACCTGCCTACCATGCACAAGGCCCTGAGTTCAACCTCTAGCACCTCAAAAACAAGAAGGAAAGATCCAAGTAATAAAAGCCTTTCACTTGCCATTGGTTGGCATAAAATTTCATACTTAGAAAACTGACTGAAGCCAGGTCATTTGTCAACTACCCAAATAAAATAAACCTGCTTCACTGGCATCATTTTACATAGAAATAGACTGATTGTTTAGATTTGTTCCACTTTTGTTTGTTGCACATTTATGTACTTTAGACGTCAATTCTTCATGAACAAAATAGCTAGAAGGTACAGATACCATAGTCAAGGGCCGGCTAGACCTGTGGCTCACAGGTGTATTTAGGCTTTCACTAAGTTTCTCTGGGGGAAAAATGCATTTTCAGTGTCATCTGGACCAGAAATGTGTGGCTGGGCGCCTGTAATCTAGCCACTCAGGAGGCTAAAAGAATGGTGAGTTTAAGGCCTGCCTGTGCAACTCTGCAAAATTCTATCTCAAAATAAAATGTAAAAAAGGACAGACATGTAGCTCAGTGGTAGAGCATCCCATGTGGTATTGGAAGAAAAGGAAATAAGAGGAGCAGGAGGAAGAAGAGGGGAGAGAAGGAAAGAAAGCAGAAGGAAAAAGGAAGGAGGGAGAAAGAAGCAAGGAGGGAAATGCAAGCATGACATTTACTCAAAACTAACAATTTTATGAAGAAAAACATTTACTTAGATATGTCACGGGTTTATCATCACATACACACAGGATCATACTAGCTTAATGATGATCCTTCTCCAATTGAAAAGAAATGGTCTGACAGAAAACTAGTATCTTTATAAAATCTTTTTTTTTTTTTTTTTGTACCAGGATCGAACTCACAACTGAGTGCTTGCAAGGCAGGCACCCATGTCGCTGAGCTAAATCCTCAGCCAGAAAAGCTTTTTATTAGCACAGACCATGGTTTATGTACAAAGCCACTGACGGTGACTCTAGCTGGAGGAAATCCATTCCTCAAATCTCTTCTACCACCCACTTCTTCAGTGATAGGATGTACTGAATTATCATAGTGCACCCCACAAAGATGCACAAATAAGCTTTAAAAAACAGAACAAAGAGCCGAGCGTGGTGGCTCACACCTGTAATCCCAGCACTCAGGAGGCTGAGGCAGGAGGGTCGTTGCGAGTTCGAGACCAGGCTAGGCTACAAAGTGAGCTCAAGGCCAGCCTGAACTGCATAGCAAGATCCCATTTCAAAAAAAAAAAAAACAAAGGAGACAGATCTCTTGCAAATCAGAAGGGGACCAAGAGGTGCAGGGAATTGGGGAGGAGCAGAAAAAGATGTAAAGAAAATGAAGATCTGTTATATTTATGTGCCAGCTTCCCACAAGGAATGTGATTCATTGCGTACTGAAAACATGTACTAATAAAAAAATTTAATTAAAAACAAACACTTTCAACCTAGTTCCTTCAAGTCCTAAAACACTTATTGTTCATGCTACATTTAACCAAGATTATAAACAATGAAACATAATACTTTGTGTGCGTGTAGTTTTTATTTTTTGGTGGTGCTAGAGATTGAACCCAGGAACACTGAGCTATTTTCTCCACTCTTTTTATCATTATATTTGAGACAAGATTTTACCAAATTATTCAGTCTATCCTTGAACCTGTGATACTCCTACCTCAGTCTTCTGAGAAGCTGGGATTATAGGTAAGCATCACTTTGCTGGCCTAGTTTGTGTTTTTTCTACCTATGCTATCTAGGTCTTGAGTTGCCAAGAAATCAATGTTCCAGAAGGCAGGAATCACTTTTGTATTTTAGCATTACTATACCTAACTACAATTTTGATCACTGTGGTTACTTAACACATTTTAATTTTCCTTCTCTTCTTTGACCTAAAAATATTTAAAAAGAGGAAACTCACTGATCATGGCGGTGCATGCGTGTGATCTTGGCTACTTGAAAGGATAACACAGAAAGATTACAAATTCAAGGCTAGCCTGAACAGCATGGTGATACTTTATCTCAAAAAAAAAATTTTAAGAAAAAAGACAAAAAAAAAAAAAAAAAAGAAAAGAAAAGAAAAAGAAAAAAACCTGGATAAAATATTTAGAAATCATAGATCTAATAAGGGACATTTCTGGAGCAAATAATAGTAAGAATAATTGAATAATAATCATCAAATGGGCAGATGGCGGATAGTGGGGAGGATGGAAAATTTTATGTGGTTTTATACAACAATCAAGTTTTTTAATTGAAAAAGAAAAAACATTCAATTGAAATCTTCATCTACGTAAAGGGCATTTGAAATTTCAAAAAGCACAAGAGGGGTTTGTAATAAATGGCATCAAATAAAAACTTGACCATTCATAGGGAGCGGAAGGGTGTGACATGGTGGCAGAGTATTGCTAACAAGCCTGAGCCAGAGACTTCACCCCAGAACCCTGAGTAACATTAGTAATTCCCATGCGGTCGCTCAGCAGATTGCCCTCGGGTTCCCTCCTCAGCTCAGCCTGTCCACCTGGTGGGCAGACTGCTGATTTCGGACAGATTACTGAAATTACTGAACCATCAAAATGAAAGTGAAAGTTATTTTTACCTGATGATTTGACCTTAGTAAGTATTTCTTATTTTTTCAGTTCTACTAGCTGAGAAAATCTAACTGGGAGCTCTGGAACGGCAGGACAGCAGCAGCTCCAGCAGAACCCTGCAGGGGCTGTTAAAGTCGCCACAGGCCTCCAGCAGGCATCCATCCCCTCACACCTACTTCCTGGACCTGCCGACCAGTCCCTCCCATCGCTCTCTTGTGCCTTTCTCATCCAGACCAGGTGAGGCAGCTCTCAGTCCTGCACTACAGAATGAAGAAATCTAGCCAGAAACTGGGAGTTAGAAAGTAGAGCACTCTTCAAGGTCATGAAGGTGAAACAGAACCAGGAGTCAGCAGGCTAGGGCTCAGCTCAGCCTTCAGAGACCACAGGGGTCAGCCAGCTCAGGATGCCAGAGCCAAGAATGATGGGCCTTGAGGACGAACCCACTTAAGGGAACGGTCAGCCCTGCTCTAAAAACATACTAGGCCATTTCCCAGAGGACCCAGGCAAGGGTATGTGTTCAGCAGTCACTAAAACCCCCTAGCGTGACCATGGCCCTAGGAGCACATTCACAGAGGCTGACCATGACAGTGAGACCTGCACTACACAAAGGCCCACAGGGAGGAAGGTGCAGACTGGAGACTCCACCTTTGCAGTGAGGACCCTGAGAAGGCCAGTCCCCACCTATCTAATTTGCCTCCCTGCATGCTGCCTCCCCATGAGTGATAGCCTCCCTCCTGAGACACTAGGTTTCTGTCTGATTTTTTGAGTGGGGAGGGAGAGACAGGGTCTTGCTACACAATTCAGGCTGGCCTGAACTCACTATGCAGCTCAGGCTGGCCTCAAACTTACAGTGATCCTCTGTTTCCTGAGGGCTTGAATTACAGGTATGCACCACCAAGTCCGGCTGATTCTTCTAAAATTGAGTGTTAGAACCCATAGAGTCCATAATATAAGGAATCACTTTTTTCCTATTGAGGAAATGCTTCCACCATTACATGATACAGTCTGGTCTATGCCAACTCTCTTTTGTTCCCTATGGCAATCTAGGCATCTGAAACTCAAGAGACAGAAATGAACTTCCCAACACTTCTCTCTGCCAAAGCACATCATTTCCCTGGAGCAAGAGTCACCTTCCCTGAGTAGGTGAAGAAGACCACAGGCAAAGGACACATCAGGAGCAATGCTGTCTTGTCATACTGACAACCTCAAACTGACTTCATCCTGTGTCTTCTCCACGTGATCAGTGCTGGCTACTCAAGACAGGATTATCAGTGAGCCATGCTACCGGAGGATATTTGAAATCAGAAAAGATGGTTTGATGATACAGACAGTCCTTGTTTAATGACCAAATTGTGCTCAGCAGACTAGGTCACTATCTGAATTGGTTGCTGAAAGGAATTATATATCTTATATACATTATAATTTTCAGAACAGAGAAACAGTAAAAAAAAAAAAAAAAAAAAAAGCTCCAATTTCATCAAGTCAGCACTTTGCTTTTATTTGCATAACTTTACCATGTAGTACTGTAATGTATAACAATATAAAACTACAGTACTGTACTTGCTATGGCTTGTGTCTAGATGTCCCCTCAAAGCCTCATGTGGTCATGGGTATGTTTTTCAGAGGTGGCTGGATCTAGAGTATATGGAATTGTGTGATGCTGGTATTGAGGTGTGTGATTACTAAATTAGTCTACTGATTGGTTTGGCACAATTCTGGGTAGGCTTAAGGGTGCACTCCTTTGTGGGGTATGTGCTGGGTTGGTTAGCCTGGATAGAATACAAGGGACAGAAAGAGAGTTGTTGCTGCTTTTGCTACCTTCTGCTTACCCTGCTTTGCCATTAACTGTTTCTCCGCTGTGACACTCCTCTGCCATGCTACCCTGACTTGGGCCCAGACAACCATGGATTAAAAACCCCACAAGTGGGGCTGGGGATTTAGCTCAGCGGCATAAGCGCCTGCCTTGCAAGCAGGCAGTTGTGAGTTCGATCCCTGGTACCGAAAAAAGAAAAAGAAAAAAGGAAAAAAAAAAACAAAACCAGAATTCATGTGTGCACTTATTCCCTTGAGTCAGGAAATATCAGTGTGGAAAAGCAGAGTCGTACATGCAGCACTATTTCATCCTATGAGCTGCTGAATTTAAGACATACTTTGTTTCTGTACCTTGATCTTATTCACAATTTTTTACTGTTGCTAACACTGCCCCCAAGATGAGGGAACCTGCTGCCCTCCCCACCTGTTCTTGAATGACCACCATGGACCTGGCCATTCAGCTCCAAGCCATTTGCTTGCACAGCACATCAGACTCCAACACCCACCTGGCAGACGGCCTATAAGACCAAGGCCTAGCGTGCTTTCTCTAATTTCTAATGGTGATCGCAAGGCAATGAGAGCCACAGTGAAATCTGCTTCAGTAACAGAGAGCTCAGTGGTAAGACTCAAACGCTATCAGGCATATTTTCCTCGGAGGCATCATGCACAGCCAGAAGGTGACCCATGCTGTGCCTTACTAGTTTTGTCTAACTTCAGAGCAAAATGCCCAAATACTTTCTTCCACAAGTGTGTTACTTACACCATGGGACATGCCACACTGACACTTAGTAAAAGAACTGTGTTGATAGCCTCTTCTACCTTTTTATCAAGCAGAATAAAGGATGTTTGGTTTTACAAGCTTAATTGTGTGCCTTGAACCAATTTTTGCTGAATATAAATACACTTTATTCTGAATGAAGTCTTAGGATCTTGGCCTCTTTCGTGTCTTCAGCAACAAAATTCATCAATTTTATACTATAAAGGGATATTTTAAATTGATTCTAGAAAATAACCAGTTCACTAGCGAGCCCATTGTTCTTGGTCTGGAAAGTAACACAGTGCTTTCTGAGTACCACTGTTTGAGAAGGTTTCACAGTAAAATGACCCTTGGAGTCCTGGGGAATCAGTTACTGAGAGTCACAGTCACTGGTCTGCTTTTCTTTTGGGCCAGTATGTAGGAAATCACCATATGTGCATATTCCTTTGTTTCACCACATACAGATGTACACTATGCACACAGAGTAATTCTATAGCAAAATCTGCACTGTACAGCACATTACTACTTACTATCACTATTTTTGAATCACTGATTTTTTTAGGAAAAGGAAAATAAGGCAATAATAATAAAACAAGCAACATTAGCGAAGGTCAACAGTAACTCATCATGTGAAGCCTAGCTAATCTACATCATTACAGCTGAGACAAACTACTCCCGTTTCCATCACACTCTTAGAAGAGTGCAAACTTTGAAAACAAAGCAGGACTTTAAAAGACTGTAATTAATTTTAATTTTACCAACACTTCAAGATGGCAAAATGTAAAAAAAAAATCTTAATGCAGACCCCCAACAGGCCTCAGGAATACTTGTTCACAGGATACCTCAGAAACACCAACCTGAGGGTCAGCATCCAGCTCCTCCTTCAGCAGGGAGCATCACTCAGCAACTACTTTCAGAAACTTTTTTCAGAAAGTTGTTGAATTGCATTCAGCTACAGAGATCTCAGAAGGTCTACTCTAGCTATGTACTGATGGATGTAACAGAGAATCCTAAAAAGTCACTCTCGAGGCTACTACAACTAAAGTAAGTTTAAGAAAGAAAGGCTATTTTTCTGGACTTTTTATCTCCAACCCAGACTTCTCATTTGAGATCTGAATATCCATTTACTATTTTTAAAAAATTCACACTCAAGTGATTTAGTGAAACAACATTATTTTAAAAAGGTAACCTTAAAATAAATAAATAAATAAGGTAACCTTGATCCTTAAATGTATTTCAGAATGGTAAAAAGGAAAAAAAAAATCAGGACTGCTAAAAGCCATAATGTGAATACTCAGCACAACTAATTGCCTTTTAACCTCCAGATGCCACAATTTTTAACCTATATGGCATAAAGAAACCTTCAAAGAACCACAAACTCTACATGTACAAAACCAAACTCAGCCAGGGGGCGTGGCAGGTGCTTATAATTACAGCTCTTCAAGAGGCTGAAGCAGTATGATTACAATAACACCATGGACAATTTGGTGAGATCTTGCTTCAAATTTAAGAAAATAAAAAGGGCTGGGGCTTAGCTCAGTGGTAAGCCCCCTGAGCTTGATCCCTAGTATTGCAAAATTCAAAATCTTCCCCTAATGGTCTCCTGCTAGTTCCATCATCTGAAAACTGCTCTTGACAGCGTCTCCTCTGCCCCGTGTCCTGCACACTGGGGCAATGTTGAATTTACCTTCCAGATTCTGTGTCTCACCACCCCTGTCCCAACCACACAGCTCCCTGCATCTCTCTCCAGGACCAAGCAAGCCTCCTGTGCCCAGTCTCCCACCAACCCCTCAGCAGCACCAAGAGTCAGCTCTGTCCCAGACCCATAGCCTTTACCACACACAGTGCTGATGCCACCCAACACTTAGGGTGTGTAGCTCTGTACCACCTAGGATAGATCCAGTACTCGTGGCCATGGCTGGGCAGCTTGTGCCCTTCAGCCTCTCCCAGGCTGGCTGTCCCCCTGCCTCTGTCCCAGCCATGATGACAGCTTCTCATGCATCCCTGCTCTTCCATGTGTAACAATCTCTTCCCATGTTACCTGATTAGCCTGCACCAACCTTGGGTCTCAGCCAAGGTACCACTTCTGCAGGATCTGTGCCCTACCCTGAAGCCTCTGCTGACTTCCTCTGTGATCTGCATCTAAGGTGCAAGTACACCTTTGAGAGTATCTGAGTGAAGCGCATCTCCCTAAGATGTAAATAGCAGTGGCCATTGTGTTTGCGCATCATTTTATCCCTGGTACCCAGCAACACAGCAGCAGCCAGTAGGTGCTCAGTTTATCCAATGAATACATAAATGTGCCAGTAGTACCAGATGCCAGTTCTCATTTACCTTTAAGGATTCAGGGTCTTATCACTAGTTCTGAGGCAACTGCCATAAGAGCTACACAAATTTGCTCTTAAGCATTATAAATCATTTGTCTTCACTTCTGAAATTAGATCTTGTCTATTCAGATTTGAATATAAAGAGAACTGAGAGTTCCATCCCATGGTGCAGGCTCTGCATGTCACTCTGAGCCTAGTAGGATCCCGCCCAGCATCAACCATCACCGGAGGACCACTGGAAAGGTCCCTCCTGGCCTAGTTGGGCTCTGCTCTGTGACCCCTGAGTGGCTAGAGCCACCTGCACTCTGCCTCGGGAGCCAAAAGTGCAAGCAGCAAGTTCCATCCTGTGGTGGGGCACCAGAACATCATTCACAGCCCAGTAGGGCCCTGCTCAGCAACCTCCATCACCAGAGGACCCCCAGAAAGGTCCCTCCTGGCCTAGTTGGCCCCTGCCCAGTAACCCAGAGTGGCTGGGAGTCACCTGGTAAAGCCTGTCTAATGATCTGCACTCAACTAAGGAAACTCCCTGCAGTAGGGATAGATATTCTCAACCCAAGAAACAACTGAGACCCTGCCTTCAGCATCCCTAAAGGAATATAGGAAAATGACAAAACAAAAGAGCAAAATGCAATCTCAAACCTTCAGCCCATCTCAAGCAAGCTGAAGAGACATGGACATCAAAGAAAACATAAGCCATACAACTAAAACCCCTGACATGATAGCGACTGAAGTAAAGAAACAACTCCAGGAAGCTATAAAATAACTCAGGTCAGAAATAATCTCCAGGTAAAAGAAGAAATGATAAATGTAATGAAAGAAATGCTCAACACACCTAAAGAAGACATAGTTAAAAACTTAGAGGAACACTGCAACAAGATAGAAATCTTGAATGAACAATGTAAGAAGCAAACAGAATGCATGAAACAGATTCAAAGAGATACCCAAGATATCAAAAATGTCATCCAAAGTTGGCAAAAACTGCCTCAATGAAAGTGAATATAGACTTTCAGACCTTGAAGACAAGATTACAGCTAGTAAATAGGAAAGGAAAGATCTTTTAAAAAATAACCAGGATTCAGGAAATAACAATTCAATAGCTGCAAGAGGATGCAAAGAAAACATATGATTGATAGGTATAAATGAAAAAGAAAGTAACAACACAAATAATATCAAAAGACTATTTACAGAATAGCTGAAAATTTCCCAAACATGAGAATGGAAACTATACAGATCAGTGACGCATATAGAACTCCAAACAGCCATAATCAAAATAAAACCACACCCAGAAATGTAATAATCAACATCCCAGAAATCCAACATACAAACAGAATATTAAAAGTTGTTAGAAGAGACAGATCGCCTATAAAGGAAAACCTATCAGAATCACAGTAGACTTCTCAATACAAACAACGAAGTCAAGAAAGCATGGAGTGATGTATTTCAAATCCTACAGGAAAATGACTTCTAACCCAGACTGATGTACCATGTAAAACTGTCCTTCAAAATTGAGAAGTCTTTCAATGGAGTTCTGAAGTTTTCTATGTAGAGAAGCATGTCATTTGCAAATAGTGATAATTTAACTTCTTTTCTATCCTTATTCTTATTTCTCTTTCATGTCTAATTGCTCTGGCTAGTATTTCCAGCACTATATTGAATAGGAGTGGTGATAATGGACATCCTTGTCTTGTTCCTGATTTTAGAATAAAAGCTGCAGACAGACAGACAAAAGAAGGAAGAGGAAGATAAAAGGAGGAAGAGGAAGAAGGGAGAAGGATGGAGGGAGGAATGAGGGAGAGGGAAAATAAGCGAATGAATGAATATAACATACTGTTAAGAACTCTGAAGTTAAATTAGGAAGGGTGGCATGCACCTGAATTCTCAGTGACTCGGGAGGCTGAGGCAGAAGGATCCCCTGCACCCAGGACTTCACGGCCAGCCAGGGCAACCCAGCAAGATTGCAGCTCAAAACAAACAAAACCCCTCAGGATTTGCAAACATATAGTTTGGGTTCCATCCAGTCTCACAACACTTATGACATAACATAAGGACAAGTTAACTAACTTCTTAACATATGTTTCTGCATCTGTGAAACAGGAATAAACCATATCCTGCTCCATAAGGTTATGAGAGTTAACTAGCAGTGTGCGTATTTGTGCCAGCACTGGGTTGCTTTTATTTCACAATTGTTAAAGAAACACTAACTAATGGTACCAGTAGTTAGCCATTACCCTTCACATGCCATAGTCTCTAGTCTACATAAGGCACGGAAGAGGGGTCTGGGGAGAACCACTCAGTGCAGATAGAGGGAAGACCAGAGGGAGATGAACCTTCCAGGCCACACCCCCAGAGGCTCCTCTCTCCCACCAGACCCCACTCCCCTCCTAACAGCATCTTAGCTCGGAGTCCCCAGATCCAGCCACTTCCCCAACGCCCACCTATGAGCACGTGAGCCTCTTAGGGACGTTCAGATATAAACCCTAACACCGAGGACATTAGAAACCAGTTCTAGAAATACTTTGGATCCAGGGATGTAGCTCAGTGGCACAGAGCCTAACTGGCAAGCACAAGGGCCTGAATTTGATTCCTGGTATCAAAACAAAAAAAAAAAAAAAGACAGAAACAAACACCTGGTAATATCTTCTACTGGAATTTTTCTATACAGAATCATAATATTCTTATTAAAAATATGATTCTGGGGCTGGGGATTTTGCTCAGCGGCATAAGTGCCTGTCTGCCAAGCCTGAAGTCGTGAGTTCGATCCACGGTACGGGAAAAAAAAAAAAAATATATATATATATATATATGGTACCATATATATATGGTATATGGTATATG